ATTGAGGATAATATTGAATCGTTTATAGAAGAAAAAGGGCGTTTCTTCACAATTGTTTTGCGGTAATTTTACAGAACATAGTAATGTCTTTCAAAGTTACTCTGCTTGAACGGGGGCTCAGTGATTTTGTTAAAGGATTTGAAGGTAGGTTCAATTTCTTTCTATATAGTTTCCGGGGTCCCTGCATTAAACATTTAAAAAATTCATCCTGTATTTAATATGTTGATGATACTTTTATAAATGTTTATTTTATAGGATATTGGTAAAATCTGAAATATATTTTTGGTAAAATGTTAACAATTTATTATTATTAGGTACCATATTTATAAATACAACTTGTACCATATAACTAAATACAGCTTGAGAAAATTTACCAAGATTTTTAATAGGTCAGAATATTGGCTTTGATTCCTTAATTTATTATTTAATTATACATGTATAAAGTTATAATTTTAAGATGGCCTATCTGCTGAAATAGTTTAATTTTTTTAAAGCTCAATTGTTATCTTTCTTTTTAGGGTAGACTGGCTAAAAATGTTCAGAAAATTATGGAGTTAACTAAATGGAAATTTTCCTTAAAAGTATTATTAATTAATATTTCTACTAAAAGTACCCAGGTAGCACACTGACGTATGCTGACGTTTATATGACGTCTTCTGACGTTAAAATGACGTTAGCAAAGTCATTTCAACGTCATATAAACGTCAGTGTGCTACCTGGGTAAAGTCTTGAAAATGAAAATAAAGTCCCAACGCAGAAAATGCACTAATAAGGTCGTCTAGTAAAAATAATTTTGGTATTTATCTCTATTTTATTTCCTAAAAAAATAAGGAAAGCATTAATTTATGCTAATTGCGATATGTTTTTCTGATTTTTTTATAAACATTTAGGTTAGAGTGCTCCAATTGATGAAAATAATGGTGTTAATGATTTTTTTAAATAAAATAAAAATGAATGCCAAAATTATGTTCAAGTACTTGAAGACTAAAATGAAAATCCAACCGTTTAATGCATTTTTTCGCGTTGGGGCTTTATTTTATTTTCAAGACTTTACTTTTAGTAGAAATAATGCTTTTAAGATTTATTTTCGTTTATTTATACCATGGTGCAGCTCCATTTATAATAAAATTAAACTATTGCCGTAAATAGGCCATCTTAATATGATAGCTATAGCATATTATTATGGCAAATAAATATATTTAGGATCATATTAAGATAGCATAAGAGGATATTAGGATGGAATTAAAATGATCATAAAATAATATATTTACCATTATAAGATTATTTATTTGCCATATATGAACCAATTTAGGATCATATTAAGATGTCATAAGAAGATATTTAAGTGATATTAAGATGATCCTAAAATAATATATTAACCCTTATAAGATATATATTAATGTCCGATATAAAAACTTTTGATGGTCTTATGATAATTGTATTAAGTTTGCCTATTGATGGTCACAAAGTATAGTTATTAAATTGAATCTATTAATGGTATTTAAACGGTCTTAATGTCCCCTATTTTACTGCGATATCTTAAATAAGGTTATTAAGAATCTTAAAGATGGTCTTAAATTATTTTTCTCGGTATAGTATACTATCACAAGAAAGTAATACAAAATAAATAAAATTACTCGGTTATAATCATTTTTTTTGCACAGGATGTTTGTAGGCATGGTCGAAGTAGATATTGTTTATGTCAAATTTTTTTATTTTCTCCGCTGTGACATTCTTACGCCATCGTCCCTAAACCTTACACATATAAACATTTTTTTAATATACGAGCCCTAACCACATAATGTTCGGACACTTCATAATTTATACAGAAATTTTTTTCGTGAATACTATCTCAAAATTATTAGAAGTTATGAAAAATTCAGCTTATTTTGGCATATACCCCTCGAAGCGATTTTTATTTTTAAAAAGTTTACCTTTTATTTTTAGCTTTTAAAAAAAGGCTAACTTTTTAACTTTTTTTTGCATGAGTAAAAAAAGTTATAAATGGGCCCATTAAAAAGAACATAAAATATTATACAAACCCTGAAAATTTGGTAAAAATTGTATAAATAATAAGAAAGTTATAGCGATATATATATCTGCAAAATCTCCCGTTTCCTAAGAAAATTGCAAAAACTCTTTAAAAATAGCATTTTTAAATTACTTATACTTTTTTATAACTTATTTATTTTTTACCAAATTTTCAGGGTTTGTATAATATTTTATGCTCTTTTTAATGGGTCCATTTATAACTTTTTTTACTCATACAAAAAAAAGTTAAAAAGTTAGCCTTTTTTTAAAAGCTAAAAATAAAAGGTAAACTTTTTAAAAATAAAAATCGCTTCGAGGGGTATATGCCAAAATAAGCTGAATTTTTCATAACTTCTAATAATTTTGAGATAGTATTCACGAAAAAAATTTCTGTATAAATTATGAAGTGTCCGAACATTATGTGGTTAGGGCTCGTATAAGTACACTACTAACACTAGGCACTTAACACTGAAATCGACTAATAAAAAAACCGCTAATAAATGGCGTCCAAAGACTTGTTTTTTTTTATGATGGCGTCTCAACCTCGTTGATTTTGCGCAGCTACACGAGAGCCCTCTTGCGATATTTGTATTGTATTGGGAATAACCAATTAGCAGATTTTTCGAATCTTACACTGGGAATGCCCAATTGAATTCAATTGGAAATTACTTATAGGTAGCTTTATCCAATCGAAACCAATAAAAACCATTAGAATCCTAATTGGACTTTTCCATCATGGAAAATACCAGTAAAAACCAATTTCTGTTTTATCTCGCGCCCCATTAAATCCAGTAAGTCCAATTCAGACCCATTGATACCAACCAATACTTCAATTGGTTTCTACAGGAATTAATCGGTCATTTACAACAGGGTAGGATTTTGGTAAATATCATTTTTAAGTCACCAAATTTGCAGTTTCTAATTTGGGACCCTTAAGGGTCCCGAATTAGAAACTGCAATCAGTTTTTGGCGGGATTTTTATGTGACTTAAACTTCGTTCAGGCACACCGTGTATAAGCGTTGTAACAGTTACAATATTTTCAGTATCTAGCTACAGTTACAGTTACTTACCAAAATTTGTAACTAGATACAGATACATATTTTATTGCAGTAACTAGTTACAGATACAGTTAACTTCAAAAAGTAGATCTATCTAGATACATACAAATTATTTTTTGCTTTAAAAAATTTAAAATAGAAATAAAAGGGAATTTTAAAGTAACAACAAAAATATACATGTTTATTATTTTTATTTTTTTTATATTTAATTTAAAATAACTTATTTTTATATTAATTTTTTTAAATGTATCTTTGTATCTTAACAATGCTAGTTACTTAGAATTTGTAACTAGTTACAGTTATATATAGTTACTAGATTGGGATAAGTAACTAGTTACACAAACAGATACATAAAAAGTATCTAGATACTATGTCTAGTTACTTGTAACTAGATACGTTACAACACTGTTTATAAGGCACTTTATAAAGGGCCATTATAGAACCTTTACGGCTGTGTTTGCTGGGATATTTGTATTTTTTTTAATAGTAGATTGCACCAAGAGCTTTTTAATGATACCATATACTTGTGGTTTAGTAATTAATTTGATTTAGTTATAACTACATGTAAACTCTTTTTTACCTACCCTATAAAGAGGTTATAAAAAAAAGGTTACAACCACTATACCATACTTTTTGTTATTTCTATGCTTTTAATTATACTACCGTGCTAAGGGGACATCCATTAATTACGTGAGGCATTTTTCTGATAATTTAGACCCCTCCCTCCCCCTTGGTGAGATGTGGTAGACCCCCCCTATCCCTCACGTGAGATTCTAGCCATTATCTTTCATTGCGGATAAAATGATACTTTATCATTGATAAACCCAAAAACAAAATTGATTACTTTTTTTTTGACAAATTTGAGTTATAATACTTATATTCTTTGAACCCAAAAGTTGACATGAGATTTTACGTGACCCCCCTCCATGAGATTTGGTGAGATTTTGCTAGACCCCCCCTGTCCCCTAAGCTAAACCCCTGTATCTGCAATATTAAGTATACTTAATATTATAATAAAGGACAAAACAATTTTTTTTTCGCCCAAATCAAGTAAAATAATAAGTTTGAAATTTTTGTACAGGGTGATCCCCTATAATGTCGCCCCCCTTTAACTTTTTTATTTTAAGTGTCCCAAAAAATTTAAAAGTGTGGTTATGTAGGAACTAAAAAATACTTTTTTTCTACGTATAAAGAAAATTGGAAAATTGATCAGTATACAGGGAAAAACAAAAAGTTTATTTTTTTTCAATGGATCACCCTATATTTCAATTTATTTTTCGATTCCTTGTAAAATTCTGAGCATAATTTATATACAAACCATATACCTAAATTCAACCGTTTCTGAAATATTCGCATTCGAAATGTCATCATTAAATGTTTTTTTAAACTGTTAAAAATCAAGAAGCCTCAGTATACCAAATTTTTTATTGAAAATAAATTACTATAGTGACATTATGTCAATAAGTGTTGTTAAATAAGTAAAAATGGCGTACTCAGACAGAGAAAGACAAACTATTTCAACATATTATCTTAAAAATAATTTAAATATTTCAGAAACGGTTGAATTTATAAATTTATAAATATAGGTATATGGTATTATATATGAAATATGCTTAGAATTTTACAAGGAATCGAAAAATAAATTCATATATAGGGTGATCCATTGAAAAAAAAATAACTTTTAGTTTTTCCCTGTACATATACTGATCAATTTTCCAATTTTCTTTATACGTAGAAAAAAAGTATTTATTAGTTCCTACATAACCACACTTTTAATTTTTTTGGGACACTTAAAATAAAAAAGTTAAAGGGGGGCGACATTATAGGGGATCACCCTGTACATTCTTCGTATTAGAATTAGGATATTTGTCTTAAACAGTGTAACAGAAATTTGGATAAAAAATATATTTAAAATTACAACATAATTTTTAATTTACAGAGCAAATAAATAATACAAAGGAATGATAAAATTCATTCTGCACAATTTACATGGAAAATAAAATTGAAAATATACTACTTAATATAATAATCAATAATTTGGCAGTTGAATGTAATGGTTTCATATATACAATAAAATACACAAAATGAAACTGTAGATTTCCTAAAAATGTGTGATTCTTACAGTTGAGTCACCAACTGCCCTGCATAAGTTACTAATTAATAAATAATGAATTCTATAATCACAAAATATATACAATTTTTGGCATAAACAAGACAAATTTAGGTCAGGGCAGAGTGAAAAGGCATACAAAATAAAGAGTAATTTTAGTTTAAAACAGTCTATTAGAGTAGGCTATAAATCTACAACTCAACTGTTTTGCACAAAATTACGATGTTAACAAAAAGAAAAACGAAACAATTTGACTAACTGCATCGATTGTAGTTATTTTTAGAAGTTGTTGGAGTTGACATGTGTGTCAGAGAATTCATGAACTGTTTCTGAAACTCGTCTTGAAACCCAGTCGGAAATTCACCATGTTTAGTTTCAGTTCTGTTGTTGCTAGAAGGCGAAGTTTTCGCGCTAAAACTCTTATTGTATGCGATCACTGAAACCGGACTACTCAAGGAACTTTCCGCATTTTTGCTGGGCGACGAGAGCTGCTGAAGGGCCTTTAAATTTTCCATCACCTTCTGAATATCGTCACCGCCATCGTTTATTAAGTCCACGGTTTTTTCGAGGGGGGTTGATTGGAAGTTTGGAGTGATACTGAGTTCCGAATGTTTATTGCTTAATTTCATAGAGTCTTTGCTAAAGTCCATCGGGGTTTGATAGTCTATGGGTTTTGAGTAAGGTGGGGGTTTGGAGTAGAGTTCTTGGGGCTTGATTTTTTTCTTTACCACAGCTTCAGTGAGGTCAATAACCTGGCAGTGTTTGGGTTCTATGGTCACAGCCTTAACTTCCTTATGCTCCTCTTGTTTATCCTCTCGCGGCACACTCGTTTTAATCACAGAGCTGTCCACTTGCTGAATTGATGCCTCTGGCAGTTTAATTGTCTTGCTGAAGTCGAAAAATTTGTGCTCTTCTTCATTATTAAAGCTTGGAGTGATAATTAGCGATTTCTCCGGCAGTTTCTGACAAGCTTTTGTTGAGTTATTGCTGATTTTGCTTACAGTTAAGTCACCAGTACTCACACTTTCACTCTTGCTTGAGGTGTTTTTCGTCACGTTTGCGACAACAGGAATTATTTGCAAATTTAAATTGGTGCTTAACGTTAACGAGGAGTTCTTTTGGGAATGTTTTAAATCGCTGCTTAGACTGTTGGTTTTGCTATCGGTAGGTTTTTTGTGTATGGGGGGATTGTTCGTTCCGTTTTTGCTGGGGATGTCAAGGTTGCAAGCTTTCCTTAGTGCCGCCACCGACATCCAACCGTCCGGCCAAATTGTTTGAATGTCCGATTTTAAGTAGCCCAATATCAGTTCGTCGATGCTTTCCTTTTGTTTTCCCTCCAGCAAGAAGCACCGTTTTTTTGTAGCTATTATATCCTTGGCTAGTTTTCTATAAAAATTAAATTATTACTTGCCAATTTTAAAACGTTAGGGGCGTTAAAGTATTACGTAAACAGGCATAGGGGGTCCAATATTTTTAAATTACATTTTAAAGTCTGAGTTTCCTGGCAGAAACTGTATCTGTCAACTTTTTTAACTTCAAACCTAGACCAAACCAAATAGACGAATATCTCAATAGGGGGGGGGGTTATTTTAAAATAAACTTTCTCCATGTCCTACAGATGTCGCTGTGTCTAATGACGTCACGTCCTTGGCATATGGACTTGTTTAATCAGTGGGTTAAGTTGTGTCAAAATAAACGACTTTTTGAAACGACACCTGAAAAAGTCTTCAAAAACTGCAGAGTGTGTTCAAAGCATTTTGCTGAGAAAGACTTTATAGCTAATAGAAGGCTTAATCGTCAGGCTTACCCAACAAAATTATTACCAGGTATTTTTTAAGTTTTATTAAATTTAGTTTTAAAAAATGTAGAGGTTTGTTTTTTTTAATACAAGTTTTTTGCTAAATTTTAAGGGGAAATATTAGGTTTTTAAATTAAAAAAAAAGTTTATAATTAAGGAGCTCGCGAACGGAGAACAAAACCCTATGAATCCCTCACTAATTAAATGTCAAAGTTAAAGGTTTGGTTAAAACCTTGATAATTCCATGTTTGGGGAAGAATTCGATAAATCTAAAAAATTGTTTTATTTTCCCCTTTAATAAAATGGTTTTATTGTTGGTCTCGGTTTAAAAAATATTTTTTTTACATATTGTAAAGAAAATTTATTTTTATGTTATAATCTTTTATTGTATGTACTTTTATTACTAATATTTTTTAAGAGGTATATTTTATATATATTTTTGTAATACATAATAAAGAAATATTTCTAATTCAAATTACTTTAATTATACCCTTAACTATTTTTATTTTAATTTGTATATTTAAAATTAAATTTTTATATATAGACCCAATGTGGCCCAATTCTGTAAAAAAAGGTATAATTTGTTTGATTATATTATTTATTGTATTATAACTATAAAAATGATAAAATGCAAATTGTCGTTTTATGATATTTAATTATTGTTGATGGTGTAAAATATTTAGTTATTTAGTTAAGGTTATTTCGAAATCTACGTTTTTTTGACAGAATTTGGTAACGCTGACAATCTCAAATAATAAAATAATTTTTTAAAATTTAAATATACGCGGTCGCTTTTGGCAACGCTGCATTTTAGTTCCTCCATAACCGTATAAGGGCGCTTCATTGCATCAAAATTATACCGTCAGATGTTCATCTATTTGGTTTGGTCTAGGACTTCAAATAGCAACTAGATGTCTTAAATGTCATATTTAGCACAGTAAGAACTCAGCGTTGCCTAGTTTTTGAACTTAAATGCTTAATTTTTTTATACTTAAAGTAACTCCCCTACAAAGTGGTATAAGGTGGATGCGCCATTTCACCGGGTTAATTAGATTTTAGGGTTTAAAATTGAATAAATAAGAATCTTTATACTCTATTATATATACAGGGTGTCCGGAAATAACGTTAATATATTGGGGGGGGTACCTATATACGTAAAAATAAAAGAAAGTGTTTTTATAAACCCCCTTGATGACTTTCCCTACGATATATGATTATCGATGTATTTTATGCATGATGGCGCACCACCCCATTTTTCTGCGAACGTAGGGACACATTTACATGATATTACAAGGAGGGCCAATTCCGTGGCCTCCTCGTTCTCCATAAGAAAGAAATCTGGATTATTAGAAAACAATTGAAGATCTATGAAAAACGCGTTAGGAGTGGAGCATTTACTAAAATAAAAATTGTTGAAAATTGGAAATAAATTGCTTTATTGTTGTAATTCATTGTGGCTAGTGTTTAATAACTAGAATTTATGGATTTTGTGGCGAGACATTTTTAATCGCGTTTTTCTCGAAAACGGTTGGGTTTTAAGGTAACGGTAGAGGTATCAATTTCTGCAATTTATAGTTCAGAAAGTAGAGGTAGTGGTACAGGCGGCGCATGCGTACTTAAATGCAGATTGTAATTTTGTTTGTAAAATTTGACAGCAAAAGGTTAAGTTTTCTACGAAAACAAGGATTGCGAGGACAATGCTGTACTACTGGGCCATATGGCGTTGTACGAGATATATAATAAACCCTGCAATACAATATATTATGTTGTATTGCAGGGTTTTAAGTACGTCGTACGTCGCTATAAAACAAGGGAATTAAACCATGATACTACATAAGACTGGAGTTCGGTTTTGGGTCTCGTGTCGTCGGTAGCTCTATGAAAGAGTATATGAAAAATAAGTGACTTCTCGACCCAGGAGAGGCAAAATCGGACTCCCAGTGTAAAAACAAACTGGAATTAATCAAGAATTTGTAAAAATATATGGAAATAATTAAGAGATGGATCGGAAGATTGAAGATTAAAGACAATTGGAAAACTCTGTGTATGAAGCCATGTGTACATAGTAAAGCGAAAAGATGACATGGTTCTATAAAAAATTGATAAATAATTAAGAATATATAAATGATTCAAGGGATGAGTTAATCTCAGATTCTTTTAAATTGATCATAATAAAGAAAATTTTAATAATATAATGTGCTGGCCAAATAGCTTTTAAATTAAGCTAAAGGTCATTCCTCTGAACACAGAATTGTGTTCAGAATTAAGAAGAAGTACATAAGACTGGTAATGTAACGCGCCGTATTAAGCGGCTGAAAAGTGGATCTAAACTTGGTTCACTGTTCGACAGAGAGGTCGAGAGAGAGACAACGCGAGAAAGGGCTATGCGAATCGTTTGGTTCTCTGCGAAATTAAGGAGACGCCGCGGCGTTAATTTTTAATAATTTATTCAGTGTCCGAGACTATTTCATTATTACAATGCTGCCGTGCTTAGCTAAAAGGACCTATCTGCAATATCTGGTAGTAAAGGACAGAAGAAAATTTTAATTTTAAATAATAATAAAAAATGGCTTTTTTGCTTAACTACCATATATTGCAGATATGACGTTTTGTCTTAGAACGGCAGTTTTTGGTAGTTAAGAAAAAACGTAATTTTTTATGGTTTTTAAGAATTAAAATGTTCTTCTGTCCTTTACAACCAGATATTGCAGAAACGTCATTTTAGCTTAGCATGGCAGAATGGTTAAGACTTGTTTTGTGCCTACGTGTAATGGTGGTTGTAAGTGTCTCTATTTAAAGTTCCAGAGAACAGATTAATTTTTTGACAAAAGAAAATACCGCGTAGGGACAGACTTCTTTCGAAAAAAGATTTTATTTTTAAAAAATATTTTAATAAACAACTTATAATTCGAGAATTTAACTGCAGTTTTAGTGATTTTTTACACTTTTCAAAGCTTTCAAACATACGAATTTTTGAATTAAAAAAAATAATACTGGTATAGATTCTTTGGGAAATTTTATGCTCTACAAGAATCCGCGACGTAAAAATTTTTATCTCAAACGGTTCAAAAGTTATAGTCTTTTTAATGAAAAAAGATTTTTTTACGTGTTATTTCAATGGAAAACTTAGAATGCTCACCGACACCTTTTAAAATTGAGCAAAAAATTTTGCCTTGCAGGGAAATTTTTTGCTCGGTATGTAGGTTCATTTTAACCCATAAATCCGATAGGTTAGTTTTTTTGGCTCACCCTAATACATAATATTTATTATTAAATTAAACTTTTTTACAATTTGTTTGTAAAATTCAGATTCAGATATTATTTATATTATATTTATTATATTACTAGGTAAATATTTTAATTTAAACATAATAGTTCATCATTTATTTTTAAATTAAACTGTTTTATATTTTGGCAAATTAAAATGATAAAATTATAAATTAAAAAACTTCAGTACCCCTTGAAATTCCCTGGATTGCCTGACGATGTAACTCCCACTACATTCCCAGGATGTCGCACCTAGCTCTATAAAGCGATCAAAAAGCGAAGGATAATTATTAAACAGCCTTCAGTTGTAAAAAAGCGTCCAAAAATAGATAAAAATCTAAGCGAGAATCATCAATGTAAGTAATCCGTTATTTCTTAAGTCGGCTTATTCACTTGGGTATCAATGATACCGTATCATCTAAATTATTTTTTTACAATCTAAAAACAATTTTGGTAAAAATACATTTTTCGATGTCCTTTACCTAAATTATAAGAAAACATTCATAAAATGAAAATGCAAAAAAACGTGGACAATTTTAAGCTTTACAAAAAATAAAAAGTATTATTTTTTTCTGTTTTTCAAAAATTGTGGTGAGACTAAACAAATAAGTTTGGTGTTACTACCAAAGTGAAAAAGCAAACTTTGAAAATACTTAGTCATATATTCCTTCATATATTTTCTAGCTCATATGAATTTTATGGATGTTAATATTTTTGAAAGTCATCAACGTCTTTTTAACGACCTTTTAAATAAATGTCATGAATTGCCTTACATTTTTTTTCAAATTATTTTGTGTAAAAATAATAATCATTGAGATAAAAAAGTTGTCCTAAAATTGTTTGTTTGCAAAATTTTTTTTCTACCTCAAAGATTGTTATTTTTGCCATTACCAAATTAATTTTGAAGACGTATATTTGAATCACTCTATTTATCAGTTTAAATGTAATTTGCTTTTTATAATTTTTATTACCTCATGCTAATAAATAAAATTAGAAATGTTTATCGTTTCACTGTCCCATCCTCTTTTGTTGGTAAATTAGTATTGATAGGTAATTGTGCATAAAGTAGGTAACTCGTATTAAATCATTGTTTTACTAAATTTTTCTCCCTTATGAGTTTTACTGATATTAATTATGCATAAAGTAATTTATTAAATCTATTTAACGGTTTTTAGGATGATATTATCAAAAATATTAATGCAGTGCATGTTTCTTTAAGAAAAATTATTAATAAACGTTCAAATCAAGCTTTTTACTATAAAGTTATATGGATTTCAGTCCGCCACCAGCCCTCTCTATCTATCTCTCTCACCGGCCGCAGTGCCTTAAAAGCGGTTCGCTCCAAGCGGTGCGACGGATTACCAGTCTTATGCTGTTGACGTTTATTTGGGCAAATATGTGAACAAATCTAGAGTATTTACAAATATTAATTAAATATGAAAGAAAATTACTAGAAAAAAGAAATGTTAAAGCTTTTTCTCGTTTATATTGAAATATTTTAATTTTTGAGAACAGTACGTATTTGGTACTAAAAATTTTTGTTTAAAACTTAACACATATTTAACTACACAGATGATTATATATTTTTTAAATAGGTAACTACTAGCACGTTTTCACGCCTTTTTGCACAGAACATAATACCAATTGTTTAAATTTACACAAAATCTTAAATTTTATAATCTTCAGAGGGTGTTGTCAAACAGCTGTTTAACCTAAATATTGATTTTGTTAATGCGCATAAGCAAACTGGTCACAGTTTTGTCAATTTTCGGCCAAACTTCATTACGAAAGTGGCCAAAAATAACTAGGTATATTTAAGTCTTTATTTTCATGCAGTTTTTGAGCTATCGCGTTAGGAAATGATGAAATATGTTAATTTTTGGTCATACGAGACGACAATGACAATTCATATGTCCAAATAAACCCCAATAAATATGATATATTGTACACCAAACTTAGTTGGAAAAAAGTTGACAAATTTCTTTCCCATACCTTGATTCTCTGGACAATGAATCTAATGCACTTTGCATGCAGTTGCAAAAAATTTAAAAATGGATTATTAAGTTAAAAAGTGTTACATCCTGCTTAAATTTGTAGAATAATAAATAAATAAATAATATCACATTATAGACCAGGCAGAGAAAGCACATATTATAGCCAAGCATATAATTTACTGCCAAAGCGATAGCCAAGGCAGTAGATTGTGTGCTAGGCAATTAATAAGCTTTCGCCGCCAGGTTTTATAAACTAGCTATAGTAATTTAAGCTTTTAATTAAAATATTTCTTTGAGACTTTAAGACATATAGAGTACAGATTAGAATTAGGTAGGTATATTTAATTTTTAAAATTCAAAATCCAATCAATTTTCGAGTCTTTTATCTCAATTTAGCAAAAATCTACTCATGTAGATTATTTCAAACGATGCAGAAATAACCCCTCCCATCGCAGAACTATTATAAGCAGTTATTTAAAAAAATTTAATTATTCGGTTTAAAGTTATCTATTTGATAATAAAATGGTAGGTTGGGTTAAATTAAGGTCAAACAACCTATGGTATTTCACGGACCCCCTATATATTGACTTTATTTTTTTTTATTAAAATATTATAATACACATCTTACCTGAGATCTTCATTCCATTGAAATTTCCTATGAGGCATCCTCAACGATTTTGACTCTTCATTATTAACACTCTCTTGGGAAAACCTTAAAAACATTAAAATGAAAACTTTACCCAACAAAAAAATAATTAATAGTAACTCACTTCTTTTGCAATATTTTTTGACTTTCTTTTTCATGATTGGCCAAAAGTGTCGGCATAATTTCGTTTATACCGGCCTTTAGTTTAACAATCATTTTTTTGAGTTTCTGCTGATCATCTTCAAACACCAAATGTTTTGCCCTCTTGGTCAAAGTCTCCTTTTTACAGCGCACAAACGCCGACAAATGTTCGTACACCTTCGTTTTGGAATTTCTGCCAAGACACCTACATTTTCTTTCCAAACTGAACAAAAAAATAATGGTTATCATTGATGTATAAACTAAGTCGTTTATATCTTACGTAAGTAGTTTTTTGTTGTTTTCTTCATTGAAAAACTTAACTTTGCCGTCCTTATGTTCACAGGCAGCCTGCTTAATACTATTGATGGTTTCTAAGATGTCGGCCGGTAAGTTTTCTGGTAGTTTTACTACTTCTACTTTTTCAACCTTTGAGTCATGACTAGATTCACTATCGTAACTAAGAGAAACATCTGAAAAAAATACAGAATTTATAATTTTTTTCCTGATAAGAAACTTGGAATATTAAAGGAGACGCGCATCTATGTAATGTTATATCGTCCAACATCGTCAATTTAATATATAAATAATATTATTTATAAAAGAAACTGTTTAAATATTGCTCTTCCATTTAATTGTTTGTTGTTAACAAAAATTCTGCGTCGAGTGTAAATCGAGTATTTATGATAAATTATGTTTCCAACACTGCTATTTACATTTCAGTTTAAGACTTAAGCCTTAAGTACATTTACACACCAATATCTGTTAAGTACCTATCTAATTTTGGAAATAATTATTTAATCTAGTTTTTCTTAAAAACTATTTTAAAATCTTAATGGCATGTTTTTTTTTAATTGAAAATGTATTTTTTGTAGTGCAAAACGTCGTATCCAACCACACTTAAAGAAGGTTACGATGTTTTGCACTTTTACAATTTAGGGTAGTTACCTGGCTTGCTTAAGCTAGAGCTAATTTCTAAATTTTTGTTGTTTCCATTATTGTCGAGTGGTAATGTTGCTTTAACAACCGATTCTATTGCATCTGCAACACTAGATATACTCATAGGTTTCTTGTTTTCCTTGTGAGATTCTTTTTCTGATCCTTCTGAAACTACTATAAACATATTTTTAATATTTTAAACAAAAACCTAATTTTCATTTAAATACCTTGTTGTCCCTGTACAACTAACTCTGTAGGAATGGACATATTTAAGTCTACCCGCTTCTCCCTTAGAAGCTCCTTAACAGTCTTTTTAAGGGGATCAATTGGACGTCTCTTCTTAATCTGAATTTTATTTTGACTAAACAGTTTTTTCTTAATGGCCTGCTGCATCGTATTTTTAGGGGACAGTTTTTGCTTCTATAGAAAATCAATGAATTAATCGATTAACCAAAGTCTTTTACAATATCGTTACCTTTTTGGACTGCCCTTCCTCATCTTTATCGCTATCTTCATCCTCGGTTGTGTCCAAAATTCGCTAAAATATATTTCATAGAAAAAATATTGAGACATGAGATTTCTTACTTTTCTATTGGTTGATTGGTTATTTTCGGTGACGGTTTCCTCGTTATCGCTTTCGGAAGAGTCCGATGATATTTCCGATGTGGCTTCATCGTCAGTCTTGAATTCAAGGGCCCCGCAATTAATGTAAAAGCCCCCGTGAAGAGTTGTTACGTTTTGAGGTATAATTTCGTCATATCCATCCGTATTATCGATGAATGAATCCGATTCGTCATACCCCATACCTTAAACACCAATCTGTTAGGTCAACCCATGACAAGGAAAGGTTTTTTGACTATGAGTTAGCCTTATCAAAGGGTTGAATAAAACAATATATAATTATTATTTTAAAAGTTTTTGAAAAATTTACTACATCCTAAGCAATAGAAGACCATTGTTGCGTTTTCTGTCACTGAGAGTACCTATGTTGTAAACAGCAATGGTGCAATAAGAAAAAAAATACCTATATAGTCGCGGCCAGATCTACATGGGTGCACGTCATCAATGTTTTTCATTTTTACAGTTCTAGGTAAACAACACGCATGAAACAAATTAATTAATTGTTTGTATTTTTATTGAATTATCCTAATAATTTAGCTTTTAATTATTTTAAATGTACAGGGTGTTCCAAGAGAAACCTTTAATAATTTGAGAATCATAAAAAAACGTTAAAATAATATCATTTTCAAAACTATGAAACTAGACAAAACATCAGAACAGACAGGACCAAAAAGGCTTCTGGAACAACAATACAACAGGGTGTTAAAATCTTCAACGATCTACCAAACTCGATTGAATCCTTGGAAAAATATGAAAAATTTATAAAAACATTGAAAAAGTACATCAAGGACAATTTATAATTATTATTCTGTTATTCAATTTATAAATCTATTCTATCTTTATTGTATAGATTACTCTATGTTAACAGCTATTACAAGTTGATTTGTGGTTTTAATTTAATAATAATAATAAACTAATATAGAAACCTCAACAGTTTCATAAATACAAGGTGTTGAAGTTGCATATTTTGAACAAAAATAATGTCTTCCAAACTAAAGAACATATTTTATTGAAATTTGATGAGTATTGTTTTTTTATTAGGTACCATTAGTACCATAGTTCGGCATTAAATTCGTTTTCATAATACAAGTTGTGGCATCACTATGGGGATGATAATAACTTATTTCTTTTTAGAGATAATAAAGGGTACGCCAAAGATCTAAAAAAATTTGTCTACAATTTTAAACTAAGCAGGAGGTTTACGAAAAAAAAGTCCTCTTGAAGTTTATTTGTATAATGTATCGTTTCACAGTAAAATTGCAATTTCAATTAATTCATCATTTTTCTCATATGCCTTCCAGTTTGTTTTTTGTAGAGAATAAAAGGAAAGGCAATGATCTAATCATTTCTAAAATAAACAGTTGGTTTAAGAACACGTAAAATTTTAATTAATGAATTCATTCTTAGTAATTTATAGCACCAAATCAAAAATGTTTATTTTGTAACAAACTATATTAAAAATAACACTAAAAACATTTTACAACAGAAACTTACAATTAAAATTAAAACTACAGAAAAATATTTTAAAACCGAAACCTAAATTAAAATCATTGTGGACACGTTTTTGTAGATCATTGGCGTACCTTTTTTTTCTCTAAAGAGATATTATCACCACTTCTTGTAGCACGAAAACGAATATAATACCTAACTATAGTAGGTACCCAATAAAAAACAATACTCACCAAATTTCAATAAAATGATCTTTAGTTAGGTGGAAATTATTTTTTTTTCAAAAAAATATATGCCTCTTCAACACCTTCTGAGTTTTCCATATAAGTTTATTAAGAAAATTAATATTAGTAACGTTTTTTATTGATTCTAAAAATATTAAATGTACCCTTTGGACCACCCTATAGGGTATATATATATTTAAAATAATTAAAAGTTAAATTATTAGGATATTTTTATAAAAATACAAATAATTAATTAATTTGTTTAAAAAGAGTTATGGATTAGTCAGATATCAGATGTCTCAAAAGAAATTAAAAACGATTTACAAACTGTTTCTTAACGGTTTACGCATGTACAATTTATTGTCATAAATCTATTTATGATGCCTAAAAACTAATTAGACTGTCTTCAAATTTGAAAAATGAATTCCCATTTAAATCATACCTATGTCCGCGTAGTCATCCTTCCGCCCTTTTCTCTTTTTTTTGTTGGCAGTGCCGCACGCGCCTCCAACGGCCGTGCCGTATTTTTCTTCCATTTGTCTTGCAATTCTTCGTACGTCATCGTCGTCATCCTCGCCAAACGGGTCCAGCCCGTTTTCAACGTTGTTTGAATCCTTTTTTACGTCCTTTAGCTTACTACGTTTCTGAAAAAAATATTTTAACTTTAGAAATATAAGATCCGAGGGCAGTTAATTTATATAACTTTAGTAATTTGTTTAAACAGGTACAGTAGGGTGAGCCAAAAAAACTAACCTATCGGATTTATGGGTTAAAATGAACCTACATACCGAGCAAAAAATTTCCCTGCAAGTCAAAATTTTTTGCTCAATTTTAAAAGGTGTCGGTGAGCATTCTAAGTTTTCCATTGAAATAACACGTAAAAAAATCTTATTTCATTAAAAAGACTATAACTTTTGAACCGTTTGAGATAAAATTTTTTACGTGGATTCTTGTAGAGCATAAAATTTCCCAAAAATCTATACCAGGATTATTTTTTTTAATTCAAAAATTCGTATGTTTGAAAGCTTTGAAAAGTGTAAAAAATCACTAAAACTGCAGCAAACCGAAAGATTTTTTTATTTTTGGTATTTTTTGTCTATAACAGGCATATAATCGATTTATGAAAAAAAACCGTGGTTGCCTGATGATCCGAAAATTGACCCTAAAAATCCACCGTGTATGAGTAATAAAAGTAATAAATAAATGAGTAATAAAAGTAATAAATAAATGTTTAATATTATCCGATATTATCTCATATAAACGTAACCTCCGAGGTAAACCCTAAGCAAATTAAAAAACTTTATTTCAAACAATTAACTGAAAAACGTTAAATAAATAATTTAATAATAAATAATTTTCCTTTTTCATTCTTTATTATTCTTATGACCTTCGTAAGTCACAAATCTCTTTGAAATTTGCAGAACCAAATAACGAATAAAATATTAAAACTTCAATATTATTAGGTTCAATGTGTAGACCTGAGCATGATCAGGTCGTTCTGGCACAGACAGCGAGATTTACCCTACATAAATTAGGGTAGCTTCCCTTCTTGTTAGATAACAAACCCTTTATATAAGAAATTGCTTCTCCATGTTTTGGTGGGTAAGGTCGTAAATGGACAATTTCACTGAAATTTAATATTTAAAAATGTACCGAACATATGTAGTAACAATGCCAATAAAAATGCATACTCATCAAAGTAAATATTTATATTTCTTCAAAAAAATATTTATACAGGGTGTAACATAAAATTTTGGATAAAATCAGGATACCAGGTTTATATAAATTTTATCAAGATATAATACAGGGTGTTCCGAAATTAGTGCACCATACTTTAACAGCAGATTCCACGTGCAAAAATAAGAAAAAAAGTCCCTATAAATATAGGTCGAGAAATGCCTCCTAAGGGAGCTACAGCCCCCGAAAAGGGAGCCCCTGAATATGGTTTTTATCTTATATTTATAAAAAATTAGAAACACCCTGTCACTTACTACATGAAACTGTCACCTGTCTTAAATTATTCTATTTTTTCCTAAACATGGCAGTCGTATTCCAAGGACCACGCGAGCCCATTTCTATGGTTGTGATTTGATTGTGAATTTTTATGCCATGTAAAATAATTTTTAAAACGATTTTAAGCGAAAACGGTGTATGTTAACGAAGTTCAACAAGATGACCTTTTTTATGTGCAAAACTCCAAAATTTCGTAATCTGACATCAAATTCTGGTACAAGATACGTACAAAAAAGTTAACGTGGTTTTAACCCCACTTCCTCGAATATGACCCAAACCTCATAAAAATTTTTAAATTGTTATTGTTACGTCTTATTGGTCATAAAAAGTTTAATTAATTCCCTAAATTTCACTCTTCTATCTTTAACGGTTTTGGAGATATTAAATAAAAACCATCTTCAGGGGCTTTCCTTTTGGGGGCTGTAGCTCCCTTAAGAGGCATTTCTTGTCCTATGTTTATATGGACTTTTTTTCTTATTTTTGCACGTAGAATCTAATTTTATGCAATTAAATATTATCAATAATTTTTATTTTATGATTATGTAATTGTTTAATTATTTAAGTTTTATTTTTTAGTGGAAATTTGGAGCCATAGTCGATTTCGTAATTTTTATTTTAATATTTGAACATAGTTTTTAAAGTAAAACATAATAGGAATATATTATATAATATATAAAATAAACAGCAAGTAATAATAACAAATAATCATTTATTAAATAAATATTAAAATATCTAATAAAATCCATTGATATATTTTTAAACCCTAAATAAAATTAAACAGTGGATTCTTTAGGGCTCGTCCATATAATATATTATTTCATAAGCACGTTTTTTTTCGTTTTGTATACTTCTTCATGAATCATTAATTGTCATCAGTGATGACTCATCACTAGGGATGTAGGTACAATTTAACCGGTTAACCGGCTAAAAAAGTTAGCCAAGTTAATTAGCTAGCTAACTGACCAGCTTAGCTAATTTAACCGGTTAACTGAATTAGCTTAGCTAATAGGCGGCTTAACCGGTTAATCTAGCTTATCTCAGCCCTGCAACCCTTAACTACGTCACAAATTCAAATTTTATTCTAAAATTTCTATAAGTCTCACCCATTAAAGCGTGACGTAATATGTGAACGGCACATCAAATAAGGCAGCTGAGGTAACATGGTTGACAGATGTATTTAAATTTTAAAAAGATTGTTAAAAAAAATCTAATTTTTTTTATTATTCACAAATTTTATTTTTTTATTTTTGAAATATTGAAAAATTAGTTTTTATCATTTTATTGAAATAACTAAAATAGAAGTTAATACAAATAAAATTTAATTTTTAAAACCGCTTTACTTTACTTATTCAATTTTTGTGGTATTTTTTATGTTTAAAGGTGTTAACCTAATTGGGTATTTAAAATGACATATTTTAATTTTTTTAATGAATTTTAATGCATGTATACCTATATCATATTGTCAAAGTAAATATGGCCAAAAATATTTTTTGTCAATTAGTTTTAATAAAATGTTTCCATACTTCTGGTCACCACTGTATATTAAATTATTAATATAATCTCATACATTTTATTTAAAATATGGCATTTGTATTTAGGTTTAAAGGTTTAATGGCAGTTGTCCAATACATTTTTGTAAAAGACTGGACGATAACTTTCAATATTCGATAGGGGCTATTATAATATATTAACCAAGAAATAAAAACTGCTGTTTTTAAAGAGATAATAAAATTAAATATGTATAAAAAACAGGATAGAAAAACGATGTGAACTGTTTTAATTATTATTAACAAAAAAATTATAAATAATAATAACAATAACAATAATCAATTAGGTATAATTGATTGTTTATAAACCCACAAAAATAAAAAAAATATTATTTGGTCATTACCTCGGTCATTACATTTTAATGCCCATCCAATTACATTCCTAAAATTAATTTTAAACTAAACAACCACCTGTATTTTTATAAAAATATCGTTACATTACAAATATTTATCCCGCGGTAGTTGTATTACAGCCAAATAAATGACGTAACACTTATTATTTCATGAAGTCCTAAAGCAAACCTTCCGTAAGGCTTAAAATTGCTTGCGGTGGACATTTACTCGCGTTTCTCTTCCCGACATACCTCTGCGACTTTATGCTTTCCTGATACTTACGCGCGTTTAAAACCTATCTTCGATGTTTATTTTTTTGTTGCAAACACGCTTATTTTCTTTATTTATTGCCAGCTAAATTAATGAAAAAAATAAAATTAATTAAGATAGGCCTATCCTCAATATTATATAATATAGAGCGCGTTTCAATTTTAATAAAACACATCACGTTTCAAGTTGCTATAAATGCGCGGCTCGCTCTTTCCGTCACGTGACCGAATTATTTCGAATTTGGCGATTTTACCCCAAGTTATTATTTTATCTTGAAATAAACTGGCGTTGCGTAAAAAATATCCATAACCTTAGTTAATACAATTTCGTTCGGTATAAACGTTACAAATTATTTCATACAAAATTAAAGAAACGATACATATTACTGAAAAAATGTTTCGAAATCAAAAGTGCATTGTTTGCTTCATTGCAATTATACCTAAATTAAAACAATAACCATAAGTTAATATGGACAGCAATTTAATACGGCATAAGTATCATAAAATCTAATTAGAAATGTTAAGTGTAAATTTTCTCATAAGCAGAGACAACACCTATTTTCCAACAGATTTGTGACAAACTCAACAACACTGAACAAACGTGTCTAGCCAAGTTTGGAGCGCGTTTTAACCAAGACTCCAAGTGTTTGGCAACGTTGCAAAAAGGGGCACAAACTCTACGACATCGAGTAATTGTATGCACACTAAAAAGAATCACAAGAAGAAAAAGTATGTCTAGTTTCTTATACAATTTTAGTCGCACGTTGTACACTTGCGACTTTAAATGGGGCAGTTGCAATCAAAAATGCATGTAAAGCACATTTTGCGGGAATAATGGGACATTTAACGGAATCGATCTGATTAAATTGAAGCCCTGGGAGGTGGAATGACAAAAGCAGCTTAAATTGCCCCAATGCTGTAAGTTTAGAGAAATCCATGCAAAATTTTTATCATGTGGTGCACACACCTTGTATACAATTGTTTTTTATAAGTGTACGGTCAAATATGGCGACGCAAATGTTATAATATCCATTGAATGGTGAAAATACATAAAGAAACAATGGGGGCACTTACTGTGGTCCCATTTACCCTGTCATAACCAAAAAACTGTGCTCACGTCAAGTGTCATAACATATGATTTACCATATCAAAATCGGTTATCGGTTTGACTAAATACACTTTTTTATTAATAATGTCTAAATCGGGACCATTTTAACTTGCACAGTACCTTTACAGCTGCTAGTTCATCCTTAAAGTTATATTCAGGGCAATTATCTTCATTTGATTCTGGCAAAATCACAGACACTCTTATAGTTTTTACTGGTTTCTTACATTGTTTATCACTAACTTTTTCCGGCTCGAACGTTGTTAAAGCTATACGTTTATTATCTGACATATTTCATTACTATTTTATTCAATAACACAGAACAACCCGGTTTCTCTCCAACATGTTTAAAATACACTACACGACAACCAAACACAAGCTCGACTTTGAATTTCGTTTACAGCGCACATAATTGCGCATTGCATGGCATTTCAAATGAAAATGTAGATATCTACCATAGATTTTCTATGAAATCTACCTATAGGTATATGTATACCTTTTTGACAGATAAAAGATTTTATTACAGGAACTGGTAATAAAATTGGTAAGGATTTACTATTTGCCAAGAGATGTCGCTAGCGACTTTAAATGTTTAAATTAAATCATATTTCTATGACTCACAGGCAAAATAATCGATCCACACAAATTTTCGATGAATTTCAATCGCAAATAACTTTTTTAGTTGATTTCGGATTTAAACAAATATTGAAGAATATTGTAGATAAATTAATGGAGAATCGCTTACATTTTAAAAATTGACTCACAGGCAAAATAATCGATCCACACAAATTTTCGATGAATTTCAATCGCAAATAACTTTTTTAGTTGATTTCGGATTTAAACAAATATTGAAGAATATTGTAGATAAATTAATGGAGAATCGCTTACATTTTAAAAATTTACTAAAAAATAGACGTACGTTTATAATATACAGTTTTAAACAAAAATATGTTTTTTACCATAAGTTTAAGACACTCTGTAGAGTGGCAAAACCGTATATTGTTCTAAATTAAGTTTTATTTATCAAGTCACGTCTATTCTTAACACTTTTGTTTTTGGTTCACCATAAGTTTAAGACACTCTGTAGAGTGGCAAAACCGTATATTGTTCTAAATTAAGTTTTATTTATCAAGTCACGTCTATTCTTAACACTTTTGTTTTTGGTTCACCTAGATATACTATCGCTAACAAAAAAAACTCATACAGCGCACATAATTGCGCATTGCATGGCATTTCAAATGAAAATGTAGATATCTACCATAGATTTTCTATGAAATCTACCTATAGGTATATGTATACCTTTTTGACAGATAAAAGATTTTATTACAGGAACTGGTAATAAAATTGGTAAGGATTTACTATTTGCCAAGAGATGTCGCTAGCGACTTTAAATGTTCAAATTAAATCATATTTCTATGACTCACAGGCAAAATAATCGATCCACACAAATTTTCGATGAATTTCAATCGCAAATAACTTTTTTAGTTGATTTCGGATTTAAACAAATATTGAAGAATATTGTAGATAAATTAATGGAGAATCGCTTACATTTTAAAAATTGACTCACAGGCAAAATAATCGATCCACACAAATTTTCGATGAATTTCAATCGCAAATAACTTTTTTAGTTGATTTCGGATTTAAACAAATATTGAAGAATATTGTAGATAAATTAATGGAGAATCGCTTACATTTTAAAAATTTACTAAAAAATAGACGTACGTTTATAATATACAGTTTTAAACAAAAATATGTTTTTTACCATAAGTTTAAGACACTCTGTAGAGTGGCAAAACCGTATATTGTTCTAAATTAAGTTTTATTTATCAAGTCACGTCTATTCTTAACACTTTTGTTTTTGGTTCACCATAAGTTTAAGACACTCTGTAGAGTGGCAAAACCGTATATTGTTCTAAATTAAGTTTTATTTATCAAGTCACGTCTATTCTTAACACTTTTGTTTTTGGTTCACCTAGATATACTATCGCTAACAAAAAAAACTCATACAGCTTAAAAATCTAGTGTTCCTGATTTTCTATCATTTCGTTGGCGTAATTATGGCTTTTAACATGATATATCACATTTGAAAGGTCTATTATAGAGTGCTGCCAGATGAACGGATTTATCCGTTTTTTACGGATTTTCCAGGTCTAGAGAAATTGGAAACGGATTTTGAACGGATTTTCATCAAATACGGATTTTTACGGATTTTTAAGATAGCTTCATACTAAAAAAATAAAAAAACATCATTTTTGCCCCGTTTTTTGATCATCTTTGTCACGCTTCTATTCCTCTTCCTTTTTACTACGTTAGACAGAAAAAGAAAGCGGATTGAAAAAGGATGTGTTCTTAATATAGGGTTCTTAAACGCCGAATATATGCGAAACATATGCTTTTTCATTGAGTGTGACAAAGAGAACGATAGTTTCATATCATTTGTTAAGGTTTTATAACACGTTGTTATTGCTGCCAATATATAAGCGGCGCAATGCCACCAATAGTAACGACTAACCAATACTGACTCCAGTTCAGTGCATTGAACTGCATTGTCTCAATATTTTGATCTCAAAGTCAATGTTTATTATATATCCGAATCTGTATATAAAATACTTTATTTTGTGAAAAATGGAAAGTGACGAGAATTATATCACTGACGAAGAGGTTCAAACTTCTGAAACTCCCCCGAAAAATTCTGAGATGTTTCGGATTTTCTTTGACGAAAGGTATGTTTTGTCACGAAAATCCCCCTTATAGAAGAAATTTTTCGAAATTTAGACAAAAACGGATTTTTACGGATTTTTCGAGGCTTCCCCCCACCCTTTCCACGAATATATACGGATTATCCGACCATCTGCTCTGGCAGCACTGGGTCTATAATTAAATACAAAGTTAGGTTGAAGTTTGAAAAAAAAATAATATTTCGTCATCCCTCTGTTTTTGTCAATTACTGCCCGCAAACGGCAAAGCATGGAAGTCGCCGTCTTGCTTTATCTAGTCTGCATTGTTTGGTTGAAAATGTTGTTAAAAAAGTCCTAATGTGACAAAGCTCAATGTCAGCTTGACATTGACGGAAAAGTTTTATTCACACAGCCACAATATAGCTGTATGAGTTTTTTTTGTTAGCGATAGTACCTACTTATTTATTTTTGTGGAAAATATGGATTTTTTAAAAAAACATTGCATTTTACAATATTTTTGTACGTTGCCAGTGGCAACTTGCCACCCATAGCCTATGGAGGTCCTCCATTGGAGGATGACAGTGACAGTTTTGTTGAATCATCCCATACTTGGACATGTCATATACGGCTTTCAAAAGCAACGAAATATAATATATTATGTAAATTAAGCCTCTTCCATAGGCGCAGGGCCGGATTAAGAGTTTTGAGGCCCCGGGGCCGACATTTGGTGGGGGCCCTCAATATTTCTAAAAATTTTGACACTTGGGAAATTAAAACTCAAGGTAAATTTTTAAGCTAGAGGAACTTTACGTGATTTTTTATTATCCTGGAATCATTTATTATTTAATAAACCATATAAATTTTAATAAAATCGGCCAAAGCGTTATAAATAAAAAACTCTTTTTTTTTTAAACGAAACACCCTGTATCTCGATAATGAAGCATTTTAGGACACGTGTTTATAGGAACTTTTTTTCATATACGGCTTTCAAAAGCTACGAAATATAATATATTATGTAAATTAAGCCTCTTCCATAGGCGCAGGGCCGGATTAAGAGTTTTGAGGCCCCGGAGCCGACATTTGGTGGTTTAATAATAATAAGTCACTATAGTGACTACCTTGATACGATTTGAATCATGACTGCCTTTTTTTAGGAATTTGTCAAAAATTTGGGGGTTTAGTTGGCAAATTCTAGGGACCCCAAATTTATATTTGGCTCCATTAAGTAGAATCCACTTTATGTACACTGGAGAATATAATTGTGGTTATAATATAATTATAAGAATATGTTTATAAATTTTAATATATCAAATAAAGCTGTTAAAAAATGATCGAGTCGAGCCGGCTTGGCGCGAATTTTTTATTGCTGACCGGCGTTTTGTTATATAAACCAAACCTATTAATAAAGTTTAATTCGTAACTTGGTATTTCTGAGGTGTTTCTTTAAATAAAATTATAGTTACTATATAGTAAATTAATTTAACCAAACTGTCATGGTTTGCAAACAAAACAGTTTTAACAATTAACAACAAATAAAACATTTGTTATTTTTTAAGTGTAGTTAATTGTAAAAATTGTTTTGTTTGATATTTTTATAAAATGTATTTAGTATGGTATACCGGCTATAGCCGTTATCGACCGCAGGAGTCCTAAATTAGACTTTAAACATCCATCTTATTGTTTCTTGTCTTGTGTCCATCCATGGATATCCTATGGACGTTCTTCTGGAACATCCTAAGGACATGGGAAAGCGTAAACTCCATGGACGTACGTTCAAAGTCCATGGACGTATGTACTTAGTTTGGACCTTTAATGGACGTACAATGGACGTAGTGTGCTGTGTGGGTAGTGGTAAGTCAAATTATTTTATGTTTTAAAGTTATACTTGAAATAAAAGTCATAGTAAGTATATGTCAATAAGCTAGTGGTCTTGTCTGCAACGCCTGTTATAGTTTTAAAACGCATGGCATGAAACTCTAACTAGGAATTTTTATTTTATCTAGATTCCGAACACACATAACCTTAAAATTAGCCATATTGCATTAATAGGATTTTCAAAACATTGGAAATTACAGAGGTTGTCCGGTCTGCAACGTCCATTCTGTAACAATATATGCCTGCTGCAGAATGGACATCGTTGTTGCAGAACGGACACAATTATTAAATCGTTAATTTGAAATGCCAAAATTAGTATTTAAAGTTAATCAAACAGTAGATACTATTTTATTGGCAAATAAAAAAGATGACTTAAACCTAAGTAGATATCTATGAACTAATACAGTAAATATATTATTTTTGATATGCATTCTTGTTGGTTGATTTAATTTGGCTTGTTATGTTTGATCGCTGCAAAATTCTCGTTGGTTTGACTAGGTACCTGTTTAATTAGTTTTATTATACAGGAATTAGTTTGTGGGTACTTTACCAAAAATGTTTACCTAATCAAAACGATTGTATCTTTTTTTATTTTTATTTAATTTACCATTTGTACCGTATGTAAAGAAACATTTTGATATTTAGGGTTATCATGAATCCAGAAAATAAGAAAATCTTGATTGATAAATTAAAAAGAGAAAAAGAAGCAGCATTTGAAAAAAATCAGGCTGAGAAGATTGAAAATAAGCATAACCAAGCTAAACAAAGAAAAAAAAGACAATGTGAAAATAATTCTCCCAAAGAAGACGTACTTATATCGTTCAAGGATTTAACAAAACAAGGACGTAGA